GGGGGGGGATTGAGCAGCCGGGCAGAGGCGGTGCTGAGGGCCAGGGTTTGGGGGTGGGATGGCAGGGGTAGGGGAAGGGTTGGGCTGGGGGAGCTTCAAGGGCTTTGCCAACCCAAACCATTCTATGATTCTATATTTTCTATGGGTTGAATGAGCAAATAGAGAGGATTTGGAGCCACACATCTATCTTGGATCTGTACTTTCTCGTCCCATTGTACAGATCTGCTTCAGAAATGTATCAGGGTAGAGTTGCCAACCGTGCTCTTCTCTCAATTTGGCAGAGACGTTGGGAACGTGGTTGAAGCTCTGTATGGGGACCTCCCTCCCCCTATCATGCTGATTGGGCACAGCATGGGGGGTGCCATCGCAGTCCACACGGCAGTCGCAAATTTGGTGCCGAGTTTACTGGGCCTCTGCATGATCGATGTCGTGGAAGGTAAGTGTGTGTACCCTTGGAAAGGCTTCTGTGCCTTCCGGTGGGGTTCTGTCTTCCACACTGATCTTTATTTTATCCCCAAATCCCTGAATACAGAAAGCTTTGCCTAGTTTTTAAACCAAGGCCAATTCCATCCTCCTAACAGATGCTACCTACACAGAAGTCTTTCTAGTGTGACCCCTCCTTTTGTGTTTCCTAGATGGGCTCTCTGTTTGCTATTTTCCTGATAATTCCTTTCAATACTTCCTTGTTAGCGGGAAGAAGGGTGGTTTTTTATATAAAGCATGGTGCTGATGAGTGGTTACTACCTTCTCTTACTACCTGTTCAAATATTAATTCTCTAATGTGGAAGCAGGTATGACTGTAGGCTTAGGAGTACTAAGCTGTACTTTCCTTAACACCATTAAATCCCCAGTGAGCTCCAGCTCTCCCTGAGGGTGTTCCCTGGTAGCCAATTCTGTATAGAGGGACTTGGCAATTATTTCATCAGACGCCATAAAGTTAAAATCCTTGGTTTTAGGTACAGCCATGGATGCGTTGAACAGCATGCAGAACTTCTTAAGGAGTCGTCCCAAAACTTTCAAGTCGCTTGAGAATGCCATTGAGTGGAGGTAATGCATGGGCTTATGTAGCCTCCAAAATAACTTGTCTTTGCAGCTTGGCTCCTGAAGGAAACAAAGCTTACAGAATTTGTCTGTTTTCTCCTTTCGCCCTCACTTCCCCAACTGTTGTCACCAATTCCTTGGCTGATTTGACAGGGAGAGAGAGGTCTCAAAGATAATTAATTTCCCAGCTAGGCATTGGAGGAGGATCCTCTAAGAGCTTCAACTAATGGAAAGCTTCATGGTATGAATTGCAGCTTCCTTATAAGTGTCCCAGCTATTACAGAAGAAGCTTGAGACATCCATCCCATGTGTAAGAAAACAGGATTCAGCAAGAACTACTTACACATTTGGCAGCTGACTTTGAAAGGGAGAGGCTTTGTGGTGAAGTTTGTAGATTGGACTATAGAAAGCCCAGTTCTGTTGCCAAATACCCATGTTGTTTCTGACCTCTCCCTGTCTCCTGCAATGAAATGTGTAAAAAAAAAACACTCTTCCCCCACCAGCGCTTCTCCCAGGTCTCTTAAATTCATAGTTGCAGTGACAACGGGGGGGTTCGAGTAAGTCAGCACGTAGTGTGAGCCGCTCCGAATCCCTTCTGAGGACAGGAGGGCTGGGAATGGTTTGGGGAAGTCATGAGCTGTAAAGGGTTCTTGCTCCTGTTTCTGAGCCTGCTGGCTCCTGAATCTGTTTAGTAAATATTTTTGCCCTTCTAATTTTTTTTTTTTTTTCCTAGTGTGAAAAGTGGACAAATAAGAAATCTTGAATCTGCCAGAGTTTCTATGGTCGGCCAAGTCAAACAGTAGGTGGTTTGGGTTTGGGTTTGGGTTTTTTTTAAAGCTCTTAAAATCATCTGGTCTGTTTTACAATACCTGTTGCTACAGAGCATAAATGCACTTGGAAGGGAGAATTTCTTCTAGCAAATACAAATTTCTTATCACTCGATCACAGTTGATACCGGCAGCAGCACTGAATCATAATCACAGCACTTGGAAAAAAAACTGGTCAAAATTTCCCCAGGGCAAAATCCAAGAGCTGTGTTTTAAAAAGGTAATGACTGCTGGTTGTGTATGCCTTGGCTTGTCTGCCTTTCTGCGCACATTAAGAAAGCAAGCATTAGTCTGACACCTCTTCAGAAATTTTGCCCTGAATCAGGTTGGTCTTTTGGGTATGGTATCTTTCACTTCCTTGTAGAAATTGTTTAACTATCGCCCTCTACAGCTGCTTGAAAGTAGGCTGTATAGCGAGGTGGAGGTCGGCCTCTGCTCCCTGGTAACGGGTGATGGGACGAGGGGCACCGGCCTCAAGTTGTGCCAGGGCAGGGTGAGGTTGG